AACAGAGGGTGTTTTTTATATATATATATATATATATATATATATATATATATATATATATATATATCATATTAATATAATTGCTAATAATAATAATAATAATCTATCTACACTACTGTTCAAAAGTTTGGGGTTGAATATGTTTTTGAAAGAATTCTCTTATGTTCACAAAGGCTGGATTAATCTGATCAAAAATTTAGTAAAACAGTAATATTGTGAAATATTATTACTATTTAAAATAGCTGTTTTCAAGTTGAATATATTGTAAAATATAATTTATTTCTGTGATCTAAAGCTGTATTTTCAGCATCATTACGCCAGTCTTCAGTGTCACATGATCCTTCAGAAATCATGAAAATATGCTGATTTGATGCTCAAGAAACATTTATTATTATCATCAATGTTGAAAACTGTTGTGCTGATTAATATTTTTGTGGAAACCGTGTTTTTTTTTTTCAAGGATTGTTTGATGAATCGAAAGTTCAAAAGATTTAAGCATTTATTTGAAATGAATATTTTGTTAAAATATAAATGTCTTTACTGTCACTTTCGATCAATTTATAATAATTATAATTATTAGTAAATTACCGTGCAAAATAAATAAAATAAAAATGTATTGTTAAAAATGGAAAAAAGAAAAGCCAGATTTGCATAGAGGATGCATTAACTTCTTTTCAGAATAAAGATGGACCTTAATTGTAAATATCAGGCAAAACATTAAGTCAAATGTAGAGTGTGAAATTGCAGTGAGAAAAAAGCGATCACACGCCGTTGAGTGGCACAGTTGTTAATTGGCTGTTACATGTTCCACATGTCGGCGGTGCAGACGGCGGGGGACGCTGTGCTGTTTAACACAGACAGGATCGATGAAGAGAGCAGATGAGATTGAAGAATTAAGTGGCAGTGAGGAGTGAGATGACTGGGCTGGTTGAGAGGGAGGGCCGGTCATACAGGTCCATCCCCGGGGAGGAAAACCATGTCTCTGCAGTCATGCGTGTCCTTCCCCTCCCCCTTTACTGGAGCGCTTGGATCTTCCTCATGTGGGACTATCCCATTCACTTTATGATGGCTGGTTGCCACACACAGCACTGCACAACACCGCCATCTACTGGCAGAGGCAGAACGGCATTCTCTCCGGCTCAAAGGTGTGGCCAATGCTCTCCAGGCACAGAGCGGCTGGAAAACCTTCTAAGCATCTTCATCTTTAGGCATCTCACACTCACTATGTAAAGGCTGTTCCTAACAGCTACATTTATGCTGTTTGGATTTGCTTTTAAAATGTTGGATTTCATTTAAAAAAAAATTCAATGGCAGCATCTCATGCATCTTTTGCTGATATGGAAAGCCCAGAATGCCTTGTGACAAGCTCATCTGATGGTGGCTGGAGTCGAGGGAAACGCTATGTATAAGTATATTTGATTGATTACTGGTTGTTCAGCAACAAGCTAATATCAGACTCAGATGCAATCAACGGTGAGCATCAGTTTGTTGCGTGCTTCCCATGACATGCAGTATTCAATCACAGGTTCTTAACGTGATTTCATTACTTTCTCTTTTTATCAATTTACTTAATGGAGACCAAAAGACAAGATTATTCACCCAAATCAATAAAACTAATTTTGTGACACAAATAGTTCAGCCTCTAAATTCTAAAGACAGGTTGTTTGCGACATGGGTCTGTACTTTTGCAATACGTACAGAAGCCCATTTTTGCTACATAAGGAAAACGCTTTGGTAATTCATAATTATTTTACATGCATTTTCATAAAAAGTCATAATTATATAAAACGTAAAAATATGAGATACTAAGTCAAGATAATTGACAAAAACTAGAAATAATGCCATGTCAATTATGACAAAAATTTGTAAAATGGAAATGTAAGTCAAAATTAAGAGATGCTAAGAAAGTTTGAAATTATTATATAATGCAATTATGACACAAAAAAAAATCAACCTCATAAATCAACCTATATTTTTTATTTTGACTTTTCATGATTATTAGATAAAAAAAATTTAGATAAAAAAAAAACATCAATGGAAGTTATTAAATTATGAGATAAAGTCACAATTATTAAATAAAAAGGTAACATACTAATTCATAATTATGATATACATTTTGGCATTATGAATTAAAAATCATGACTTAGTATGTCACGTTGACCTTTTTTATCTCTTAATTTGGACTTTTTATTTCATGATTATGACTGTTTTCGTAGTATAGTTTCGACATTTTATGCCATAATTATGATTTACCAAAGCATTTTTTTTTTATATTGAGGAAATGTTTTAATTTTGCCTACAGACAGTCGTGCAAATATATCTATTGTGACGGCTACATTTCTACCGTTGTGCAGTATGTTCAGCCACAACGTCGGCCCTTGTGCTCATGTTTGGGATCAGAAATTCTGCATGTTGCCTAATGGCACCTTTACACTGACAGCAATTAAATCGCTGTCTGCACTCCCATTGGTGGTTGCTGTATCATCTCTGTGTGCATTTGCATAAAGTTGAACTCAGCCCAACTTTCTGTTTGATGTTTATGACTCAGCAGCTCTTATTGAAAACGCTCATTGCTTATGTAGACAGCAGGCAGCTTTATGTGTGAGTGTACCTGAGCAGACCAGTTCCTGCTCCATCACCCCACAGCCCAGCACCTCCAACCAGTCTCCCTCGAAGCGCACCTCCATCTCGAAGGAGGGATGTGTGAAAGGGAAGTAGCAGTCCACCCAGCGGATCTCCAAATCTGCAAGACAGAAACAAACAGATGGAGGAGAGCCGGACAGAGGAAGTGAGGAAAAACAAGTGCGAACATCACAGGATTCCTACCTTCCCCAAAAAGGTGTCGCACGAGGCGCGTGAGAGCCTGTTTCAGATCGAACTCCACAAGTTTGACAGCCTCCAGCGTGTGCGTCTCCTGTTTCTGAGGCGTGCGGCGGCCACCGCTCTCAAACAAAGACAGCTCCTCACCATTCTCCACTCGAGCAAACAGCTATTAGAGAGAGAAATGTTGAAAACAAATGTGTTTATTTAATTGCATTCAGAAAGATTACGATAAGATTTCATCATGACTTCTTCGACACTTGTCCTTGAACAGCCTCTTCATTACAGTCTGGATGCTTTAAATGAACAGCTTTTTCGACACAGATAAGTAGGGAGTTCTGGCAGGTACAGTATATGAACTATAGAGGACTGCTTGAAAGTGTTGATGCTTAAATACTTTCTTCTATCTAAGAAAAACAATTCTTCAAATCAACAACACACTTCATTCAATTCACTTAATTTAATTCAAGTCTTAAACCTGAAGGTTATTGAAACCATCCAACGGTTCTTTTTATTTATCTGGAAAATGAAAAAAAAAAAAAAAGCAGCAGTAGTGCTAGTATTTATTACCATTAATAATATTAACACATTAACCCTCATAATGTATAAAAAACAGTCTGCATACTATTTTCGCATTCATTATTCAAGAATCACTATTTTGTAAAACAGTTATAACTTTATTGTTATGCTTTAAGCAGAATATATCTTATTAGAAAATTCTCATTAATGAGAAAATATGAAAAAAAAGAATGTTACCTTGTTGTTACCATATTATTACTGCATTTAGCCCCTTTTTATTTATTAAAAAAACGGAGGAATTTTTTGAAACTTCAAATTACAAATGATGTGATGTGATGAGAACATATCACTGCATAAAATTCATATCATATAATCATATAGTATGAGAATTATCAGTATTTATCAGAATTATCAGTATTAACCCCATTGGAATGAATGAAATTTAATTAAATTCCTTTGTCTTTATAACTCATGATTTCTCAAAAACACTTTTAAACAAATTTATGAAACCAATATTTGTATTTCTAACAAAACAACATCAAAACAACACAATTATTACAAACAAAATACATCCATTTTACGTTCAGATGGAAAAAATTATTAAATTTGCATGCTGCAATGGTTCGTCAACAGGAAAAAAATTCAGTCTCAAAAGTGCATATATCTATATAGATATATAAAAGTTTTTATACGTTTTATATAAGTTTTTTTTTAACACAAAATGTTTTTTTTTTTTTATATAACTTTATGGATAAGCATTTTTGACACATAATTGTACTCCATTCATACATCTACACCTGGGAATTTAAAAAAAAAAAATAAACAAATGTTTTATAAAAAAAAAAAAATTAATAAATGAAAAATATAAATTATGTTTATTCTGTGGTTCTTACAACATTTGCAAAGTTTCATTCCCTTACTAAAAACTATGCATTTTTTTTTAGAAATGTATCTTTTCCAGGTCAAAACAGACCCAAATGTGTTAAAAGGGTTATTATATTAATATATGAATATGTATTATTATTATTATTATTTTATTTGTATTAGTTATTTTATTATTAGTTAAGTCCCACATGTCACCACATAGAATTCTGTTGTTTCACAGAAAGATTGAGAAATCACAGCCTCAGAAAAATGTCATTAAATATTCATGGATGAATCTTCCACAATAAGATGCATTAAGAGAAGAGATGAAATGAATTTCCATGTCAAGTCAGCTATAAATATGTCTATTTTGACTTTTTGTTTTGGCCAGGCGGTCCTTTTCCTCATTAAGGACACCATTCTCACCTCATGGTTTGAGAAAAGCCGCACTCCCTCCATCTGATGGAAGACAGGATAGTGGTTGGAGTCGATCTCATCTCGTCTATACACATCTCCAGCCAGCAGGAAGCGGTCCAGACCTGAGCGCACCAGCTCCTTCTGATGGGCGGAGGTGTGGGCCCGCAGCATGTGTGTGCGGTTCAGGTAGTAATTGTCTCCTTTTTTCCGACTGGGATGGTCTGGAGGAATGAGCAGACTGTCGAAGTTCTGCTCCACCGTCACCACCGGGCTGAGGTTGTCATGTACGGAGAAGAGCGGGTTTCCCGTGCGTCCGATGTAGGAGCGGTAGAAATGGTCTTTGATGCGTTCTTTAATAAGCCACAAGGGGTGGTGCGGCCGGTTGTGAAGCTGGCTGCCAACTTTGGATAAGATTTTAGCTGTCACATTGGTCATGTCATCTCGCGGGTAGACATGGCTGAAAACTTCTATTGAGTCTTCACTAATCCGTGGCCGGGGAGCGGAGCCGTCCGTCGATAGACCCCTACAGGGGTAAAGTTTGTGGGACACGGCGAGGGAACGGGTCCATTGGCAGCTAGCTGACCAGTGACAGACTATGTGTTTGAGGAAAGTCTGGGAAATATTGTACAATGTCATAGTAGCTGATCCATGAGTCTGTAAGAAAAGAGAGAAAAACGTTAGTTCTGTGAACTCTCTATTCAACAGTTCCAAAGTGAATAATAAACAATGCTAATTAGGAATGGGAATGCATCAGAGTCAACCAGTTGTGCAACTAATTAAGTGAAGTCAACAAGACATTTCTTTGCATTTATTTTAGGCATTTAAAGGTGAAGTGTGTAATTCTATTCGATATTAAAGAACTTTCTCTTGTCCAAACTGAATAAGCAGAGAAAACAATTAAATCAAAGTCATTTCTAGATTAATTCTCCTGAAACGTGTAAACATCAATGATTTCAAAAATGTTTTGCCCTGTTTGTTTGAGCGTTCAACCAACTCGACACAGCAACAACTCAACCAATGAGTTTGGGGCGGGACTATATGTTTGTCAGACATATGTTTCTCAGAAAACATTTTGCAATTCCATTTGGTAACTCCAGTCATTTCACTTTTGATAAGAGTAGTATTCATAACTGCTATCAAAAATATTTATACAATAATTATTAATATAACATCTACATTAGCGTTTAAAAGTTTGTGGTTGGTAAGATTTTTTTTATGCTTTTGAAAGAAAAACACAAATGCAGCATTTACTTGATCAAAAACAGTAAAATAAATACATGAATGATAATAATAGTAATAATAATGTTAATTTAAAAAACCTGTTTTCTTATTAAATATTTTAAAATGCAATTTATTCCTGTGATCAAAGCTGAATTTTCAGCATCACTACTCCAGTCTTCAGTGTCAAATAATCCTTCAGAAATCATTCTAATATGCTGATTTGCTGATCAAAAAATATTTATTATTATTAATGTTGAAAACTGTTAATATTATTCATAGAAAATAATATTTGTGTAGAAATCACGATACTTTTGTCCAGGACTTGCTGACTCATTGTCTAGTGCGCTAAAAACCCTCACCAATAGATAAATTGCAGCAAAATAGAAAAGTACATTGTACGTAGGCCTGGGCGATAAAACGGTATCGATATTTATCAACGGTACACCTTCTTCGATATCGATAGAAAAATTGTTCGATATAGCGCACGATATATCCACGTGCTATGAGTGACGCAGACAGCACACACAAACACGAACACATGCTGAAATGAGTGCTGTGCGTGCCTGTGATGAGTAGATTATGAATAAAAAAATGAATATTAGTCGAATTTAAAATAAACATTTGCATTTGAATGTTAGGTGTGCATCAGTGGCGCGTGAAATACGTTGATGATGTAAGTGAAGTTGTTGCATTTTAATGTTTTGTTAGACTAGCCCACGAGACGCGCCGCTGCTGCGTTAATCATTCAAAATATTAGAGAAATATAGCAGCTCAATGCGGAGAAGATCTTGAATGGGTTCTCCACAATAAGATGCATTAAGAGAAGAGATGAAATGAATTTCCATGTCAAGTCAGCTATAAATATGTCTATTTTGACTTTTTGTTTTGGCCAGGCGGTCCTTTTCCTCATTAAGGACACCATTCTCACCTCATGGTTTGAGAAAAGCCGCACTCCCTCCATCTGATGGAAGACAGGATAGTGGTTGGAGTCGATCTCATCTCGTCTATACACATCTCCAGCCAGCAGGAAGCGGTCCAGACCTGAGCGCACCAGCTCCTTCTGATGGGCGGAGGTGTGGGCCCGCAGCATGTGTGTGCGGTTCAGGTAGTAATTGTCTCCTTTTTTCCGACTGGGATGGTCTGGAGGAATGAGCAGACTGTCGAAGTTCTGCTCCACCGTCACCACCGGGCTGAGGTTGTCATGTACGGAGAAGAGCGGGTTTCCCGTGCGTCCGATGTAGGAGCGGTAGAAATGGTCTTTGATGCGTTCTTTAATAAGCCACAAGGGGTGGTGCGGCCGGTTGTGAAGCTGGCTGCCAACTTTGGATAAGATTTTAGCTGTCACATTGGTCATGTCATCTCGCGGGTAGACATGGCTGAAAACTTCTATTGAGTCTTCACTAATCCGTGGCCGGGGAGCGGAGCCGTCCGTCGATAGACCCCTACAGGGGTAAAGTTTGTGGGACACGGCGAGGGAACGGGTCCATTGGCAGCTAGCTGACCAGTGACAGACTATGTGTTTGAGGAAAGTCTGGGAAATATTGTACAATGTCATAGTAGCTGATCCATGAGTCTGTAAGAAAAGAGAGAAAAACGTTAGTTCTGTGAACTCTCTATTCAACAGTTCCAAAGTGAATAATAAACAATGCTAATTAGGAATGGGAATGCATCAGAGTCAACCAGTTGTGCAACTAATTAAGTGAAGTCAACAAGACATTTCTTTGCATTTATTTTAGGCATTTAAAGGTGAAGTGTGTAATTCTATTCGATATTAAAGAACTTTCTCTTGTCCAAACTGAATAAGCAGAGAAAACAATTAAATCAAAGTCATTTCTAGATTAATTCTCCTGAAACGTGTAAACATCAATGATTTCAAAAATGTTTTGCCCTGTTTGTTTGAGCGTTCAACCAACTCGACACAGCAACAACTCAACCAATGAGTTTGGGGCGGGACTATATGTTTGTCAGACATATGTTTCTCAGAAAACATTTTGCAATTCCATTTGGTAACTCCAGTCATTTCACTTTTGATAAGAGTAGTATTCATAACTGCTATCAAAAATATTTATACAATAATTATTAATATAACATCTACATTAGCGTTTAAAAGTTTGTGGTTGGTAAGATTTTTTTTATGCTTTTGAAAGAAAAACACAAATGCAGCATTTACTTGATCAAAAACAGTAAAATAAATACATGAATGATAATAATAGTAATAATAATGTTAATTTAAAAAACCTGTTTTCTTATTAAATATTTTAAAATGCAATTTATTCCTGTGATCAAAGCTGAATTTTCAGCATCACTACTCCAGTCTTCAGTGTCAAATAATCCTTCAGAAATCATTCTAATATGCTGATTTGCTGATCAAAAAATATTTATTATTATTAATGTTGAAAACTGTTAATATTATTCATAGAAAATAATATTTGTGTAGAAATCACGATACTTTTGTCCAGGACTTGCTGACTCATTGTCTAGTGCGCTAAAAACCCTCACCAATAGATAAATTGCAGCAAAATAGAAAAGTACATTGTACGTAGGCCTGGGCGATAAAACGGTATCGATATTTATCAACGGTACACCTTCTTCGATATCGATAGAAAAATTGTTCGATATAGCGCACGATATATCCACGTGCTATGAGTGACGCAGACAGCACACACCACATGCTGAAATGAGTGTGTGCGTGCCTGTGATGGGTAAATTTTGAATAAAAAAATGAATATTAGTCGAATTTAAAATAAACATTTGCATTTGAATGTTAGGTGTGCATCAGTGGCGCGTGAAATACGTTGATGATGTAAGTGAAGTTGTTGCATTTTAATGTTTTGTTAGACTAGCCCACGAGACGCGCCGCTGCTGCGTTAATCATTCAAAATATTAGAGAAATATAGCAGCTCAATGCGGAGAAGATCTTGAATGGGTTCAAATAAAAAAAAAACAAGCCATTCACACATAACGCATATTCAGCGCATTTTTTAGACGGACAAATATGACTGCTGCACTCGCGTCTCACACAAGAGATGTATAGAAAGCCATGCAAAGTTAAAACAGTTTAAACTTTTAGAAAACACGTCACGAATTTGTGGAGGTTTATTCCATTTCACTGCATCTCATATGTTTTTAAATGCAGTCTGTGTGAATGGCACTTCGGCTCTTTGGATTAAGCAATGCATAAATACATGATGCTGTTTTGTTCATAATTGTTTATGCAATTTACAAAATGATATTAGATTTTTATGAGTTAATTTAGACGTAATGCACGTTTTTATTGAGTTACTTCCTTGCGTTGACAATTTAAATGCGCTGCATTATTTTGCTCATTGCGCCCTCGGGAGACAATTAGACCTATACAATAAAGACCTATTTAATCTGCATATAAAACATTAGAAATTAGATATTTGTTTCATTTTTATTGTGTTTTATTGTTAAAACAAAAAAAAGATTTGTTGTTTGTCTCAATAAATTGTGTTAATTATAAATACAGTGCTTTTTGTTTTAAAAAAGGTTATAAAAAATGTCAATAATTATCGATACAGAACGATATGAAACATTATATCGTTGATCAATTTTTTAGCTATATCGCGCAGGCCCTAATTGTACGATGCAGAATTTGCAGAAATGCCATTCGTCCTGTTTAAGGACACTGTCTCTACCACCATCAAAACACTGCTTTTGAAACATTCACTAGCTTGAAATACCGTCAGACTTCGATAAAAGTTTACAATCTATTTATTTAGCCTATTTATTGGTTATATCTGTCAGTTTTATTATTTAAGGGCTGCACTTGTTGTCCATATATATATATATCGCTAAGAGAAAACAAGTCAATTTTCTCAGTGCAGGTTATTACATTTCTTAAAAAGGTTGTCTTTATAATTTTATGACTGCTTTTAATTCAATTTAGTTAATCAATTCCTGGTGGTAAAACCTTTCTTTTTGTTTTGTACTTCTTGAATATCACAATGTTTCACATTGACCAACCAACTACTATGTTGTTTAGCAACCCACTGATTTGTAGATTTTACACATAATGCTAATGCTACATAACATATTAAAGGCAAATATATGGACCCTGAAGCCATTTAATGGCTGCTACTATAACGTCCCTGCTTCCTCTGTATTGATCTGGCAATAAACGCTGTATACATGCAATGGAGATTCTCAGGCACGCCGGGCTTTTGTCGAGCAGTGTGAGAGTTAGATTACATTACTGGGATGTCAGATGAGCTCATGCACCAGGGACTTAACCTAAGAAACCTCTGGTGAGATGTGCGGTGCCTGTTCTAACTTGTGACATAGGAAGAGAGGCCTCGTGAGAGAGCTGATGGAAATAGCAGGTGAGAGCTTCATGCCCTCACAAATGCACAGACAGAGAAACAGATGCTCACATCATTGTCTTTGCTGCCAGCACAGGACACATTAA